CTCGTTATGTTCATTTAGGGCAAAAGATACCTTCACTTCTCCACCACCACCAACAAATAGATGTCTCTCATTGTATAGATACAATGCAGTGGGAGAAGCCAGTCCATCTTCAGACACAAGAATGTCCTTGACAAACCGCCCAGACTCGGTCAGCTGGATCACCCTGCTGGTTTCATAGTCTGCCAGAAGGATGTCCCCAGTTCTGGTAGTCTTCACACCGAAGGGTCTGCTGAACGCCCCATCCTCAGCAGGGAAGTGCTCCCACAATGCATCTCCCTGTGGTGTCAGGCAAACGAGAGACTTCCTATTCCAGTTGGATACGAGTATGTTTCCAGTACTTGTAACACACAACCTGTTATAACCACCTTTGTCCTTAAAACTTCGAGACAGAACGAGTTGGAGTTCCTTCCCCTCCATGTCCAGGATATCAATGGTTCCTGTATCAAACTTACACCCTACTAGCGTGGAAGGGGTTAACATACGTAGGCCAACATAACGACAGCTTGTCTTTATATCAGAGAGGCAAATGAGGTCAGGCGTGACAGCTAGTATCAATATCCTGAAGGAATCAGGGCAGAACACCATCACCTGGTTTTGTTCCAGGTGTGTTAGATCATGAGGTCTGGCCACGCCATACTCGCTATGGCAAGATTTGTCATTTCTAACGTAAAATGACTTCACAGATGTATTGTGAACGTCGGACACAACAATGGTCTTGATGCCTTCAACATCAAGTACAAGTATGTCGAATACGTGGCCATGCTGCCGAGATTCATTCTTTAGGGCAACAGTGGTTGTATTCAAAAGTTTTGGACGAGACGAGCGGTCATGTAAATCCTGGAATGTACGACCAAGCTGACCAAAGGAAAGGTCTTCAATACCCTTCTTGACTTTTCAATGTCTTGTGATACGGAGACATCGTTTATATAATGCGTACAACCTGATCTTCATCTTCTGTTGGTCTGATAGAAGGTTCTCATGAGCAGGATATAGTTCCATCAAGTCGTTGTCGCCAAGCATCTTCTTGAGAAAACCCTTTTCTGATTGGCCAACTGAATGTCTGTTTTGTTTTTGATTCACATCATCTGATAACAGCCCAAACTGGTTCTCAGACACTCCATCAAGTGTGTCCATCAACTCTTTCTCTTTCTGTCTAAACTGACTGATAGTTGTATGACTGGCACATCGAATTTCCGATTGAATGCGAGTTCTTGTTTTACGATGCCTCGACAATGCTTGCCTTTAATCTTTGTATATTTTGAAGTTTCGTTTGGATTGTTCTGGAGATTGATTCCTTCTTTCAGATGAATTCGGCCGCCAAATCCAACTTCTTCGATTCGGTGCTGACACCATTTTGGCATCTCGCCTCTGCTTCCTTTGGATCTGTGCAACCTTCTCTGCTTTGACCCGGACACGGTTCCAGTGTTTTCTTCATCTTTACCACGTTTGATCTTCCAGGATTTCCACAACTTCTTTTCCCCTAGATCGTGTCTGGGGGCATCGTGAAGACGTTTGACGACCCAACCCTCAACAATGTACAATAACGTTATCAGAGTCAGATGGGGCAGGAGCAGGGGAGGTTTACCTAAAATAACAAAAGAAGTGTTAATGGTGCATATTTGAAGGCATGAGAGATGTCTTAACATTAAGTACTTCGAAGATACAGAAGGTTATCTGTAACGGTGTGCTTTCTTTCTTTTTAAACTGGGTTGTCTGGTCCAGACTCGATTAGTTACAGACCGCCGCCATATGGCTGGAATATTGCTGAGTGCGGCATAAAACTAAACTCACTCACTCCTTCAAACTACTTCACTTGAACGTGTACTATGTAAGGACAGGAGACACCACTTCTCACAACCATCCGTGAACATCCTGGTTACAACTGATCTTCAGCTTCAGACTAACGGGATCGGGTGGTTAGGCTCGCTGACTTGGTTCACTCGTGTCATCGTATCCCAACTTCGTAGATCGATGTTCATGCTGTTGATTACTGGATTGTCTGGTCCAGACTCGATTATTTATCCAGGCCACCGCCATATAGCTGGAATAGTGCTGAGTTTGTTAAACAACAAACCAAACCAATCTTCTCACAACGTAACCAATATCCACGCAAGTACCTGTTGGGCGTGGGTGTGAAGGCTCGGTAATCGCTTTGAGGCATATCTTCCAAGCTGAAATCCCGCTGAGACATAACTTAAAGTTTGCTAAAAGCAGCACCTCATAAAACTCACCAGCCTAGTATAACTTAGAGGCTTGCTGTCTTCACGATACAAAACACACGTGGTTTACGCTCACTGCTTGAAGTTCAGTATTGTCCAAATACAATGTGTGGCTAATGCATAGTGCTGTATTTCCCTACTTGTCGACGCATCGTCACCGTTCCTTTGTCCATACAAGCTTGACAACACCCCTCGTACATGACAACACCCTCGACCTCTGGATGATACGGCCTTAATCACACATGAACAACTCGGTTGCCAAATAGATGACCTTTTGGACTCCTTTGCACAATTGTCATTTGAATACGACCTGTAAAGCTGTGATACGTCTCTTTACACTCCTGTCAACCTGTTTTGTCTACTTTCTGCTAAATGTCTGGTCCTTTTTCTGTTGTAAATACAAACCAGAAACACTTACCACAATCATAAGACTCCGTCGTACGCAATTCCGACAACGTCATACATTGGTTTATGAATGGTAGTGTGAGTGAGTTGGGTTTTACGCCGCTTTTAGCAATATACCACCAATATCAGGCAGGGGACACAAGAAATGGGCTTCATACAATCATACCCATGTGGGGAATCGAACCCGGGTCTTCGGCGTGCCGAGCGAACGCTTTAACCACAGGGCTCACCCCATCGCCCGGGTTTATGAATAACTACGGAATAGTGATAATACCAGGTGAGCTTTTCCGATATCCTTATCGGTGTCGCACGTCATAAACGACATGCAAAGGCAAGCTAACTGTTTACCCAGGATAACATCAAGGGAAACCGTTGTGCAAGTTAAAACCAGTGAATTGCATTGAACTTTGCTGATGCGTCCATTACGGAAATGTCTCTCGTTTGAAAGGTTCTCTGGTCCAGACTCGATTATTTATCCAGACCACCGCCATATAGCTGGAATAGTGCTGAGTTTGTTAAACAACAAACCAAACCAATCTTCTCACAAAGTAACCGATATCCACGCAAGTACCTGTTGGGCGTCTCTTTACTGGTGTGAAGGCTCGGTAATCACTTTAGGCATATCTTCCAAGCTGATATCCCATGACATAACTTAAAGTTTGCTAAAAGCAGCACCTCATAAAAACTCACCAGCCTAGTATAACTTTGAGGCTTGCTGTCTTCACGATACAAAACACACGTGGTTTACGCTCACTGCTTGAAGTTCAGTGTGTTCAAATACAATGTGTGGCTAATGCATAGTGCTGTATTTCCTACTTCTCGACGCATCGTCACCGTCACCGTTGTACAGACAACTTCGATCTGGATGATACATGACAACACCCCTCGACCTCTGGATGATACGGCCTTAATCACACATGAACAACTCGGTTGCCAAATAGATGACCTTTGGACTCCTTTGCACAATTGTCATTTGAATACGATCTGTAAAGCTGTGATACGTCTCTTTACTTCCCTTGAACCTGTTTGTCTACTTTCTGCTAATGTCTGCTCTTTTCTGTTGTAAATACAAACCAGAAACACTTACCACAATCATAAAACTCCGTCGTACAATTCCGACAACGTCATACATTGGTTTATGAATAGTGAGTGAGTGAGTTGGGTTTTACGCCGCTTTTTGCAATATACCACCAATATCAGAGCGGGGGACACAAGAAATGGACTTCATACAATGTACCCATGTGGGGAATCGAACAAGGTCTTAGGCGTGCCGAGCGAACGCTTTAACCACTGGGCTACCCCACCGCCCGGGTTTATGAATAACTACGGAATAGTGATAATACCAGGTGAGCTTTTCCGACCTTATCGGTGTCGCACGTCATAAACACATGCAAAGGCAAGCCAACTGCTCACCTGATAACATCAAGGGGAAAACAGTGAATTGCATTGAACTTTACTGATGCGTCCATTACGCAAATGTCCTCGTTTTGAAAGGTTCACTGAGGTGTGGGTTCGAATCCCGGATGGGACGACAAAGTACTAGAATCTGTACTTTACTAAGGAAGTGTACTCAAAAATATAACATTGTTACATTTGACCACTTTCTAAATGGCATTCTGTATTCGTTCTTTTGAGAAGTATATTTTGAAACCTCTGATATTTTGAAACAGGGATTTGGTGATACATTTGCATCACCCCAACACACAGCATCACCAACTACACCAATTTGCAGTATGATGTCATTCACTCAGGAGAATTTCTCATCAGTCCTGGGTGCACAAATTGACATTCACTAACTGAACCGAACCGAGGCGTATACGTGAAGAGTCTCAGTAATTAACAGTATTCTCTGTTGCATTGTTTAATAATGATATAACTATACGCTTGTTTGTCTCTAACCAGGGTATTCCATGCATTGTATGGACCATACTTGACTTTGAATTGACTAAGTGTTAATGTCGTAACAAATACAAATACCAATACTCACATTCGATGGTGACACAAACCTTTATTTATTTGTTCACATTTAACATGACATCGAAGCAATGTTTGCCATTAACGACAGTTGAATCATTTATCAGTAGAAACTGGACAAGTGTTTCGGGAGAACACTGGACGTCTACAATATAAGTAGAGAGTTGCTATCATTTTGCAATAAAATCAAACAAAATGAATATTGTTTCACGCCGATTTTAGTAATATTCCAGCAATATCACTCCCGCTGACATCAGAAATGGGCTTCACACATAGTACACATGTCGGCGAGACGAGTGAACGCTTTAACCACTAGGCTACCCCACCACCCCTCTGGTTAGAATAGGAGCGGTGGGGTAGCCTAATGGTTAAAGCGTTGGCTCGTCACGCCGAAGGCCCGGGTTCGAATCCCCACATGGGCACAATGTGTGAAGATGTTGCTGGATATTTGCTAAAAGCGGCGTAAAAACCAAACTCAGTCAGTCAGTCTGGTTAGAATAAGTCCCCAGAAGCCAATGCTTGTCGTATGATGGGACCTAATGGTTAGGTTAGGCAGGTGTGGTTAGAGAGAGAGAGAGAGAGAGAGAGAGAGTCTGTATTATGTCTATATGTAGACCATCTGCCCATGTATAAAAGTAAATCAATACATATATGGCAATTGGCTTGTACCTAAAATAATATTATCTTTCAAAAGCAAATTTTGCCCATTTGATCAGATTCATTACATCACTTGATGTCAATAACTTACGAGGGGCTGTGCGGTAGGCTAGGGGTTATTCCATCGCTCGTCACACCGAAGACGCGCTCATGACGAGGTAGGTATCACTGCTTCTGTACAGCGAAGGTAAACTCTTTTATATCATTTCGGTCACATACGAATAAATGACCACGTTTATCAAGACACAGTCTAGATGGTGTCTGAAGCCCATTGTCCGCCGTGAGGACGTCTCTGACAAACTCCCCCGTCCCTGTGAGCAGCATCACCTTGTTGCCGCCGTTCTCTCCTGACACAAGGATGTCCCCGGTGTTGGTCTGGACGATCCCTCCAGTATACCCAACTGACGGCGTGCTCCTGCTGGGGTCGTGTTTCCACACCACGTCACCATCGGGGGTCATGCAAAACATTGAATGTGTACTTCCGTCGGACACAACGATGTTGCCACTGTTGTTGACGAAGAGGTAAGCCGATATGTGGAAAAGGGGGCTGTCTATTGATCTCAATATATTGCCTTCCATGTCAATGATGTCGACACAGTAGCCAGTACCGTAGTGACCTCCTCCCGCTAGCAAAGATGAAGGGCTGAGAACAGCCAAGCTGTAATAACTCTTACAGGTGATTTTTGACAGGAGGGTCAGTTCAGGGGCCACTTCTACTGTTACAAGCTGGTCAATCTTTGGTAGAGCTATAATCACCCTGTTCTCTGTGATACGTGCCATCCCATTGGGGCATTGGTCTAGTGGAAGAACACTATAGCAAGGCCCATTGTGTCCTGTGTAGAAAGATATCAGTTGGCGGTTTCTACCATCGGTGATGACAACTACCTGCGACCCATCGATATCGAGAACAGTCACATCTGTTGCTTCCATCGGCCAGCCGTTCTCATTCAAAGATGGGTAGGTGATCGTGTTCACTAACACCGGTACATATAAGGGGTTATCGTGGTACGTGAAATCAACCTCCGCCAGGCGCAGGTTCTCAACGGCTTTGCCAACTTTCTCAGAGTCATGATTGAAAGTGATTGTGTTTATTGTACGAACAACATCCCCCTGGCTCGCCCCATCCCCAATGTCCGTCAAGTCTTCCAGAAAAGTCTGATACTTCGTCCCATTGCCATCCTGTATAGCTTTGTTGATAAAGTCAGATTGTTGTTGGAACCTGCACAGGTCTGCTTCCTCCTTCAGCAATTCATCATTCAGCTGCTGAAGCTGCTTCTCCGTCATTTCATCCAGCTCTGTCATCAGCTTTGTTTCCTTTTGCTTAATCATATCCACGGCATCCTTGACAATTTCCACAATGCGAGCTTGATTGGATTCCTTGCGTTCACGGGCCTCCGTAATGGCTCTCTGTTGAAGTTGTACGTACGCTGACCGTTCGTCCACTCTCTTGGACAACGACTCCACTTGGTCCACCAGGACATCCTTGAGGTCTGACGTCGTGGGATGAGTCGTAGCGGCGACGCTGTCGTTGGATTGTTGAGACGGCTTACTTGTTTCTGAATTGCCAACACTTGGCAATTTGGGATTCCTTCTGATTCGACCCATCTTAACTTCAACCCCCGTCGCTGGATTACCGAGGTCACGTTTGCGACTGGACCGAGTTTGAGGCATCTTTGCACTGTTGCCTACAACATACACTACCTTGAGCTCAATGATGAAATCAGTGATAAAAACGTTGTATTCACGTTACTTCAGACCTTTGCTGTATTCCGATTAGTTACATCAACTGTTAAAGGGTTAAGGTAAAGCATAGGGCGCTCAGCTTTCCGAGGTCGCTTAAAAGTTGTGGAAGAAAACCAACCTTACTGCATACAAAATGTTTGTTTGTTTTTAACGCCAATCAGCAATATTCCATCTTCGTGGGTAGTACACAAAATGATTATCTCGTGCCACTGTGTGCATGCATGGTAATGTTAATGCATTCAACGCCTGTACGTGTATAGACAGACGGAGATCCCATTGAGGCTGTGTTTATTTTTTCTGTACATCGTTCTCAAGCCCACTGAATATTTGTTCCGACATAAAATAATTTAAAAGCTTTCCTATGTCGCCATTCCCCAGATGTGAAAATTTAAGCCCCCATGAAATAGAAAAATACTTCTACCGTAGCCCTCGGTCAGCTTGATCTTCATTTCACCTTTTGTTAAAATTTCGTGTCCAAAACAAACTCGATCTGTTCCGTTATAATACACATTTAAAGACTGACGCCACGTGTTCTAAACTTTAGAACATAAACTTAGTTACGTAATTAATAAAATGATACAATGACACATGGTGAGCCAAGTCAGCGAGCCTGCCTGACCACCCGCCGTCCAAAGCGATCTTAGGTCTCCCCATACCTTAACATAGACATAAGGTAGACATAGCGGGTTGTTTTGTACAACGGCACCATCTCATTCTAACCTGGATGACAAACATGGGTTAACGTGAAAGTGATTCTAACCCACTTCACGGGTCAACGTGAAAGTGATGTACTTACCTACTTACACCTTGGTCAGACTGAAGGCAAGTGTGCACAGCGTGCTCGCAGTATTCAGATCCTCTACACGTGATGTGGTCAGCAGGTCAGGTTTCATCGGTGTGACCTATTTTAATGGAAAACGCCCCCTTACTGATAAACTGATAGGACATATCTTGTATCAGGCACCGAGGACTGTGATCCATGAGTCACTGACAGACGGGTTCAAGTTACAACTATTCGCTGAATTACGCTGATATCGATGCAAATCGCGCAAACCGACGTTTAAGAGAGAATATAGAAGAATGAAAAAAAAACCAAACAAACAAACAAACCCAAACAACCCATGAAAAGCTTTGCAAATTTGCACTGCCACTCTTACGCCTGTGAACACATTAGCACATTGATGAGTCGGACATGTGATGTCATGTTTGTGTTTGTTCCGTTTCCGTTGAATTCAGTGTCCTGTTAATCTTTCTAAATTTGATTTTTCAAACTTGATTAAACTTGAAAGGCTTATCAACCAAGACATCAACACCAAGGTCACAGTATCAAAATAGTTCTGTAGTCATCCATCTCAAGAAATAAACCAACTGGGGTTTTTTTCAAATTCTAAATGTTGTTTTTCATACTTCGATCAAAATGTGGCAGGATAGTACATATCCCGGAGTGAAACCATAGGGGTCTGTTACGAACGCTTCGCGCAGTTGATCCAACGGACAAATTATAAAGCCTCGTCAGTAGGGAAGTCCAAATATAAGTACCAGATACAATACCTATTGTAATTGCTTTGTAAGATTATGACTGATAACACCCTGTTAAAGCCTACTAGGGATTTATTACAGTGAGTCTTACATTTGATACGGTCAGTTATGGATTGTCCCGTACAGGTTACACAACACCAAATGTTTTCCCATGTTTTTCTATAGTATCCTTATATTATTATTTTTTAAATTATCAGGTTATCAACAGCCATTCCATGTACTTATGGGTACAGTCTGGCCTTTAAACTACAATAAAACACACTTCGAATTTAATATCACCAAGGCACTCGTACATTGTATTGCTGTTTTGGTTTTTATTTATTTATTGTAAAGGATTTGATCTCTTTGAAACAGCTGAAGGAAGGAGACAAAATATTTGTTAAAGATATATTCTATTGTAATTATAACCAGCTGTTCTCCTTATATTTGCAAATGCATATTTCTAAATAGGGTTCTCAAATGTGATTAGTTTTATTGAATATGCAAATAAAATGCATTGTTTCAGCTACACTAAATCCTTAAGCAGATACTCAAAAATGATTTTAAAATATTTCTGAAACTGAGAATTCATGTAACCTTGCTATCATACCCCTTTTGGAATTTTAAAATGGATACGCTGAAGAAAATATGAATGACCCCCTAAAAGTCAGAATAACAAATATCCAGAGACGTGAAATATAAGCCCAATGTTAGAGATTAAAGTAAACAAGCGCACGTGCGTATTTGAATCTCTCACCGTCCATGGCATTATCCTTTTTTAAACTCTTCACACGAGGCAATACTATTCTGTTAGTTACGATCTGTGTACTTTCAAGATGGCAATATATATTTTTCATGATTTTTTAAACAAAGACATTATGCCGTAAACGATTTAAATACTCGGGATTATTTTCATCAAAGCACTGCATCAATTACACGTTCTGATTGGTTTGTCGTATTTTCTCACCTAACAAGCATCGATAGGGGGACGAGTCATCTTGGAGGTTAGGAAAAGGGGCGAGTGGTGACGAATGCCCCACCGCTCCTGGTCCGCACAAAATGCCACCCGTATTAACTGATTGACTGAGTTTAGTTTTACGCCGCTTTTAGCAATATTCCAGCAATATCACGGCGGGGGACACCAGAAATGGGCTTAACACATTGTGCCCACGAGCCAACGCTTTAACAACTAGGCTACCCACCGCCCCCTCCCCGTATTAAAATATCGGTGGTCACATATAGTATAAATCAAAGTAACAAATTACAGCACTTACTACTGAAAAGCTTTGTCAGTTTTAATTATTTCATTTTAAAAATAACATAAAAATCCTACAAAAATATCCGCACTAAGAGCTCCCTCGATTACTGAATCTGAAATGATGGATCAGATCCTACAGAGACGCACTGGCCCTGGAAGGGAATGGGTGAGTCGTTTAAACAGTATTCAAGTTGTGTCGCGTCAAGGTAACGTGATGGGTGAGTGAGTTTAGTTTTAAGCCGCACTCAGCAATATTCAAGCTATATGGCGGCGGTCTGTAAATAATCGAGTGTGGGCCAGACGGTAACGTGATGAAGAGAACCGGTCGAGCTAGAGATTGTTGGTAGGATCCATGGGCCATGTACCGAAAGATATAAAAGGTGGTATTTGTTGCTGCCTAACCCAATAAAACGTATATTAGACCGGACACACGACCGTGCATATACATGGCCGTGTAAATGCAATTACCTTTAACATGACGTTAAACCCAGTTTCACCCCTTGTTAACGTCATTGCATGTTTCAATCATCTAATGCAGCCATATGCCAGCTGTAAGACGCCTCGAGTCTGTTCCAGACAATCCATCTACTGACATCATGAGCATCGATCTGTGAACCATGGCAACACCTGCCAGAGTTTAACCCAGAACGAAGAACTCTAAGGTGGTCCAATACTTTAGCATAGATGTATGCCAATCGTAACGCTACGATTGGTTTGTGTAACAGGACGCTGCTCCAAAGTAAATGTGTGCGTTTTTTATGCACAAAAAATCATAATTTGGAGGTGTGACCTCCAATTGACTACTTTCACCTCCACTAAACCAGGATGCCCTGACCTCCATTAAACCAGGATGCCCTGACCTCCACTAAACCAGGATGCCCTGACCTCCATTAAACCACGATGGCCCTGCCTCCGTTAAACCAGGATGCTCTGACCTCCATTAAACCAGGATGCCCTGACCTCCATTAAACCAGGATGCCCTGGCCTCCATTAATCCAGGATGGCCCTGCCTCCATTAAACCAGGATGCCCTGACCTCCATTAAACCAGGATGCCCTGATCCCCATTAAACCACGATGGCCCTGTCTCCATAAAAAACCAGGATGCCCTGACCTCCATTAAACCAGGATGCCCTGACCTCCACTACACCAGGATGCCCTGACCTCCACTAAACCACGATGGCCCTGCCTCCATTAAACCAGGATGCCCTGACCTCCATTAAACCAGGATGGCCTTCCGTCCATTAAACCAGGATGTCCTGCCTCCATTAAACCAGGATGCCCTGACCTCCACTACACCAGGATGCCCTGACCTCCACTTAACCACGATGGCCCTGCCTCCATTAAACCAGGATACCCCGACCTCCACTAAACCAGGATGCCCTGACCTCCATTAAACCAGGATGGCCCTGACCTCCTATTAAACCAGGATGCCCTGACCTCCATTAAACCAGGATGGCCTGACCTCCATTAAACCAGGATGGCCTGACCTCCATTAAACCATGATGCCCTGACCTCCCACTAAAACCAGGATGCCCTGACCTCCACTAAACCAGGATGCCCTGACCTCCATTAAACCACGATGGCCCTGACCTCTATTAAAACCAGGATGCCCTGACCTCCATTAAACCAGGATGGCCTGACCTCCATTAAACCAGGATGCCCTGACCTCCACTAAACCAGGATGCCTGACCTCCACTAAACCAGGATGCCCTGACCTCCATTAAACCAGGATGGCCCTGACCTCTATTAAACCAGGATGCCCTGACCTCCATTAAACCAGGATGGCCTGACCTCCATTAAACCAGGATGGCCTGACCTCCATTAAACCAGGATGCCCTGACCTCCACTAAACCAGGATGCCCTGACCTCCACTAAACCAGGATGCCCTGACCTCCATTAAACCAGGATGCCCTGACCTCCATTAAACCAGGATGGCCCTGACCTCCACTAAACCAGGCTGCCCTGACCTCCACTAAACCAGGCTGCCCTGACCTCCACTAAACCAGGATGGCCCTGACCTCTATTAAACCAGGATGCCCTGATCTCCATTAAACCAGGATGGCCCTGCCTCCATTAAACCAGGATGCCCTGACCTCCATTAAACCAGGATGCCCTGATCTCCATTAAACCAGGATGGCCCTGCCTCTACTAAACCAGGATGCCCTGACCTCCACTAAACCAGGATGCCCTGACCTCCACTAAAACAGGATGCCCTGATCTCCATTAAACCAGGATGGCCTGACCTCCATTAAACCAGGATGGTCTGACCTCCATTAAAGACGTGACCTCCATTAAATCAGGGTGACATGACCTCCATTAAACCAGGATGCCCTGACCTCCATTAAACCAGGATGGCCCTGACCTCCATTAAACCAGGATGGCCTGACCTCCATTAAACCAGGATGGCCTGACCTCCATTTAAGACATGACCTCCATTAAATCAGGGTGACATGACCTCCATTAAATCAGGATGCCCTGACCACCATTAAACCAGGATGGCCTGACCTCCATTAAACCAGGATGCCCTGACCTCCACTAAACCAGGATGCCCTGACCTTCATTAAACCAGGCTGCCCTGACCTCCACTAAACCAGGATGGCCCTGACCTCTATTAAACCAGGATGCCCTGATCTCCATTAAACCAGGATGGCCCTGCCTCCATTAAACCAGGATGCCCTGACCTCCATTAAACCAGGATGCCCTGATCTCCATTAAACCAGGATGGCCCTGCCTCCACTAAACCAGGATGCCCTGACCTCCACTAAACCAGGATGCCCTGACCTCCATTAAACCAGGATGCCCTGACCTCCACTAAACCAGGATGCCCTGACCTCCATTAAACCAGGATGGTCTGACCTCCATTAAAGACGTGACCTCCATTAAATCAGGGTGACATGACCTCCATTAAACTAGGATGCCCTGACCTCCATTAAACCAGGATGGCCCTGACCTCCATTAAACCAGGATGGCCTGACCTCCATTAAACCAGGATGGCCTGACCTCCATTAAAGACATGACCTCCATTAAATCAGGGTGACATGACCTCCATTAAATCAGGATGCCCTGACCTCCATTAAACCAGGATGCCCTGACCTCCACTAAACCAGGATGCCCTGACCTCCATTAAACCACGATGGCCCTGCCTCCGTTAAACCAGGATGCTCTGACCTCCATTAAACCAGGATGCCCTGACCTCCATTAAACCAGGATGCCCTGGCCTCCATTAATCCAGGATGGCCCTGCCTCCATTAAACCAGGATGCCCTGACCTCCATTAAACCAGGATGCCCTGATCCCCATTAAACCACGATGGCCCTGTCTCCATAAAACCAGGATGCCCTGACCTCCATTAAACCAGGATGCCCTGACCTCCACTACACCAGGATGCCCTGACCTCCACTAAACCACGATGGCCCTGCCTCCATTAAACCAGGATGCCCTGACCTCCATTAAACCAGGATGGCCTTCCGTCCATTAAACCAGGATGTCCTGCCTCCATTAAACCAGGATGCCCTGACCTCCACTACACCAGGATGCCCTGACCTCCACTTAACCACGATGGCCCTGCCTCCATTAAACCAGGATACCCCGACCTCCACTAAACCAGGATGCCCTGACCTCCATTAAACCAGGATGGCCCTGACCTCTATTAAACCAGGATGCCCTGACCTCCATTAAACCAGGATGGCCTGACCTCCATTAAACCAGGATGGCCTGACCTCCATTAAACCATGATGCCCTGACCTCCACTAAACCAGGATGCCCTGACCTCCACTAAACCAGGATGCCCTGACCTCCATTAAACCACGATGGCCCTGACCTCTATTAAACCAGGATGCCCTGACCTCCATTAAACCAGGATGGCCTGACCTCCATTAAACCAGGATGCCCTGACCTCCACTAAACCAGGATGCCCTGACCTCCACTAAACCAGGATGCCCTGACCTCCATTAAACCAGGATGGCCCTGACCTCTATTAAACCAGGATGCCCTGACCTCCATTAAACCAGGATGGCCTGACCTCCATTAAACCAGGATGGCCTGACCTCCATTAAACCAGGATGCCCTGACCTCCACTAAACCAGGATGCCCTGACCTCCACTAAACCAGGATGCCCTGACCTCCATTAAACCAGGATGCCCTGACCTCCATTAAACCAGGATGGCCCTGACCTCCACTAAACCAGGCTGCCCTGACCTCCACTAAACCAGGCTGCCCTGACCTCCACTAAACCAGGATGGCCCTGACCTCTATTAAACCAGGATGCCCTGATCTCCATTAAACCAGGATGGCCCTGCCTCCATTAAACCAGGATGCCCTGACCTCCATTAAACCAGGATGCCCTGATCTCCATTAAACCAGGATGGCCCTGCCTCTACTAAACCAGGATGCCCTGACCTCCACTAAACCAGGATGCCCTGACCTCCACTAAAACAGGATGCCCTGATCTCCATTAAACCAGGATGGCCTGACCTCCATTAAACCAGGATGGTCTGACCTCCATTAAAGACGTGACCTCCATTAAATCAGGGTGACATGACCTCCATTAAACCAGGATGCCCTGACCTCCATTAAACCAGGATGGCCCTGACCTCCATTAAAACCAGGATGGCCTGACCTCCATTAAACCAGGATGGCCTGACCTCCATTTAAGACATGACCTCCATTAAATCAGGGTGACATGACCTCCATTAAATCAGGATGCCCTGACCACCATTAAACCAGGATGGCCTGACCTCCATTAAACCAGGATGCCCTGACCTCCACTAAACCAGGATGCCCTGACCTTCATTAAACCAGGCTGCCCTGACCTCCACTAAACCAGGATGGCCCTGACCTCTATTAAACCAGGATGCCCTGATCTCCATTAAACCAGGATGGCCCTGCCTCCATTAAACCAGGATGCCCTGACCTCCATTAAACCAGGATGCCCTGATCTCCATTAAACCAGGATGGCCCTGCCTCCACTAAACCAGGATGCCCTGACCTCCACTAAACCAGGATGCCCTGACCTCCATTAAACCAGGATGCCCTGACCTCCACTAAACCAGGATGCCCTGACCTCCATTAAACCAGGATGGTCTGACCTCCATTAAAGACGTGACCTCCATTAAATCAGGGTGACATGACCTCCATTAAACTAGGATGCCCTGACCTCCATTAAACCAGGATGGCCCTGACCTCCATTAAACCAGGATGGCCTGACCTCCATTAAACCAGGATGGCCTGACCTCCATTTAAGACATGACCTCCATTAAATCAGGGTGACATGACCTCCATTAAATCAGGATGCCCTGACCTCCATTAAACCAGGATGACCTGGCCTCCATAAGACCGGCTTAGTCTGACATTCATTTTAAAAAGATGCCTCAGTCTCATTTAAACCACGTAGAGGCGTGTTGACAAAACACCCAATAGATCCAATGGAGGCGAGTTGATATACTACTCACACTTTGCTAAGGATCACAAAAATTCCAAACTTTACTTAAACATAGATTTATAATTTGAAATTGTATCCATTTATAACTGGATAAATACTAGTATAGTAACCATTCTTCAGGCAAACAACCACTTTAATCTCACCTTATACACTTGATATATGAGTAGCCATAAAAATGGTTTTCATGGCACCAATTACCCATTTTGCAAATCATGGAACGAGTCATTTACAAGTACACAACACCTGTCAATAGCAGGTATGGGATCCACAAGATGCAGTGACATACTGAAACCTAGGATCCATGCTTACAATAAGCATAGATATCTAAACCAAATTTGACCCCACATCATAGTTTTCTGTTGAATCAATGATTTGATCCTTAGCAAAGTGTGAATAGTATATATGACACCTCCGCGGTGTAGTGGTTAGAGCGTCCGCCCGGTTCGATCCCCGGCTGCGTCATACCAAAAGACGCTAAATATACAAACAAACGTTACTATAGAAGTTAATGGGAAAATATTCGGCTTTGTGTGATCATAACACAAGCCACCACTGACAATTTCAAAGGTAAGGGAGACTACTCTAGTTAACACCTGCCTGTTGAACGCGACAACCCACAACTGACCGTATCAAATGTAAGACTCACAGTAATGTTTCCCGTGTATGCTTTAACAGGGAGTTGTCAGTCATAATCCTACACATGCAACAACAATAGGCATTCATCTGATACTTATATTGGTAATTCCCAATCCATACTGACAGTCCTTCATATTTGTACGATGGATCAACTGCTCGAAGCGTTCGTAACATACTCCTATGGTTTACCCTTATGGATTCGTACTATCCCGCCACATTTTGATCGAATTATCAAAAACAACATTTAGAAATTATTAAAAGGTTCGTTTCTTGAAATGGGTGGGTATAGTCTATTTTCATACTGCCATCTTGGTGTTGATGTCTTGGTTTATTTGCCATTCAAGTTTCAAAAGTTGAATCAAAATTAACATGATACTGAATTTAATGGAAAAGGAACAAAAATACCCAGCTTAAGTCTGGGCTAGTACAAGCAGCCACACATACACACGCATTCACGTCGTCATATGAGTGAAAAGTTCTTAAGCACGACGTTCAATCCCATTTCACCTCACGCTATATAGGACACCATAATTCAAAACACGATGTATGACCAGGATGCCAGCATGCCCCGATGCCCTTGCCTCCATTACACCATTATTATTGTTTGACATTCATTGAAAGACGATGCTCTTTTTGTAATCTCAGCTAAACCACGTAGATGAGTGACGACACAAAACAATAAATCCAATGGAAGGGTGTTGACAACCGACCCCATGGACGAATGGTGAATCGAAAGAAAACATGTTCAGTTTAGGCGTATCGACATGAAACCACACATTGAGGAGAGTCGCATCGACAAAACAACGGTTTTAATAGAAGCCATTCGACATATTTTTGTTAAAACAACTTACATCCACATCGGTTATGAAATTAAAATATATAAAATAGGGACATGGCAACATGAAGTCGGATGCTGATACTTAAAAGGAGTTTATTTAAAATTCAGGAGTCAATTATTTGAGATTCAAGTTTTTGGATATGTTCAGAAATCCTTGAAACAAAGGAGACAATGTCACATTGAAGTGAGGGTACTATACGTGTGCCCTATGAATTCCGTATTCACTGAGGGAAGATAAGACATACATCCTATATGTACCTGGTGAAATGATGTTATGTCCATCTGGTTTATATGTACCATGTTAATGACACCAAAGAGCCCTAAAACCTTCAAAAGCGACATGCACACACTACCGTGTCGCAGAAAAAACCCGAACATATTAAGCTTTGTGTTCATACCCCACACTGTTGCGTTCTCAGAGTTAGTGGACATTCCTCCGTGTTTGTTTGTCGTTTAACGCCGCACTCAGCAATATTCCAGCTATATGACGGAGGTCTGTAAATAGTCGAGTCTGGACCAGACAATCCAGTGATCAACAGCATGATCATCAATCTACGCAATTGGGAAACATGTATCAACCAAGTCAGCTGGCCTGACCACCCGATCCTGTTGGTGGCCTCTTACGACATGCATGGGTTACTGAAGACGAATCTTCAGGCATCTTCGTGGGTCCATTCCCCCATGACACTGAAGGCCGGTCAATTTTACTAAATTATCGATGATCAATAACTGATTACGACATGAACAAATGTGGCATTTTAGTCATGGTGGAGTGGAGAAAAACGTATTCTGTTAAAATATTTCCTAATTAACTTGATCAAGCTAAAAAGGATGAAAGAGAGAATTAATGGAATATTAAGTATCTTTTAGTACACGAATACTCCACAGAAACATCATTGTACATACATGTGAAGACATATGATTTATGTAACATGTATTCTCATAAACGTCGAAAGACAACGGTCATACTCTATGCTCATGTCGCTATAAACGTGTAAGAGGGCTTTACTACACATGTCAGTGTTGTTCACATTAATATGAAGATAGTTGTGTCCTCTTTGCTAGCAAAGTCACATGAGAACATTAGGAAATATAAGGTGCACTTGATCAAAGCACTATTACCTTTCACTTTTACCACTTCGAGGAAATCATTTTCAAAATACAAAACCCCTTTCCTTCATAAAGTCCAAAGCTTTCATCCCGATCTTCGGTCTACTCTCTTTGGGCCTCCGTGGAGGGATATGGAGACAGTCCATGCTCTTCACGATTTCCTTTACGTCGTATGAAGTCTGGTAGTCCTTAATGGGAGTGAGAGCATGTTCTAGATTACTATAACGTTTGTCGTTTGTTAAACTATCCATACTCGCCCCGTATTTCCTTGAAGGTCCTTTTTTGGCCCAAGTTTTCACTCCACCCTCGGTCGATTCTCGTCCGATTGCACCGAGCATCGTTACCGAGGCCGCCGACATAACAACGTTTGGAAATCTTGAGGCATCTGATGCCGGCGATCCGTTGGTCCAGGATTTCGAACTGTGAGTCTCTGGTAACTTAAAGGTCCCTGGTGGTTTCGAAGCCATTTCGGTTACCAGATCTGGTATAAACGTAACTGATTTACCCTTTAAACTCTGGTCATTGTTCCGCAATTCCTTTGGCCTGTCGCGTCCGTTCTTGGGATCCATCCTCTCAAGAAACGCCTGACGCGCATTCAAGCATTTTCCCGTTCCCTTAACACGATACGAAGACACACTGGAGTCACTGTTTTCTATAGAAGATCTCCGACTGCTTGCTGTGTCACTCTGACTCAAAATCCGTTTGAAGACACTGGACTTCCGCTGCATTCTGTCGACGAACACTTTCTTCTCGTAGGCATTCTGGCTAAGGAATTTATACCTCTCTTTCGACAGATCCCATAGTTTCGACTTCAGCATTCGCTCCTCTGTAACGTTATCGACCAGCTGACCAGACATTCTAGACGCCTCGTGATTAGCTCCCAGCGGATCTGCGTCCTTCTTAACCCAGCTTCCATCTCCTTCATGGCATTGGACTTGTTGGACATGAACTTGGATTTAATCCGAGGTGGTGCGCTCTTTGGTTTGGGATGCATTGTCATGGCCTTGTCTTGGTCACTTTTCGCCAACTCGATTACTCACAGGACTTCGTAAGTATCACATCCTCCAGGGAACAAGTCAGCGTCGGTGTTCATGTCGTGTAATGACTTCAGAGATTAATTACAGAGGGGAGCCATCAACACTGGGAGACAGGTTTTTGACGTCAGGAACAGTCGAAACTGAAAATATCCAAAGCACATTCAGGATGTGGGCTATGAATAATGTATTACTGGTATAATTTTTATACTCTCGTTAACTGCTTGTTATCCGTTAATTACCGTTCCCAAGAGTCCCATGACATTTCGTCCTGATTGACGATCTTACGTTTTCTGACCGAGTCTCATTTCTTCTCGATACGTTCTTCGTGAATTCTTTTTGATCAGGTGAAATACTCGCCGAGGGACCACAATGCCTGAATTCCCACCTGTAAGCAAACAGAGTATGGAGTAAGACTTTTTCAGCTAGTTTCCTTTACGTGTTTATTAGGCGTGAACTATTGGCTGAGATCATATATTCAGAACTCAAGCGATCCGTTATTGATTGCAAAACAATATGCAAGGAGAAACTCACGTAACACACGCTGGGTAAATCATTTAGGATATCCAGGTGAGATTACATGTAGCCAAGGCACAAATGCCTACCTTTCGGCTTAACTGACCGCCTACCTTTGATGTCACAGTGCCAATCTGATTTAAACTGACCGTCCTAATATTATGGGCGAGTGTTGATAGTGATTGTTGACTAAGTAGGTGTGTTTTGATTGGATTATCTCTAGGGTTCTTGGTCATACAAAAATCACTTGTTGCATGGTAGCTGGGTTGATTATGTCACAAAGATTTGCGCTTGTCCTTTGGACGGTATGTTACGAAAGGAAAACACATACGATGTTACAATGTTAATTGTAATGACTAGTGTGTGAGTGAGTGTTTTACTGAGATAGTGTGTCCCTTCAACCGTATTCTGTTATGTCACAAACTATAAGGTTCGGGTACTGAGAGGGGCGATGAGGTAGCTAGTGGTTTAAGCGTTCGTTCGTCACGCCGAAGACCCGGGTTCGATTCCCCACATGGGTACAATCTGTGAAGCCCATTTCCGGTGTCCCCGCCGTGATATTGCTGGAATATTGCTAAAAGCGGCGTAAATTTTGACTCACTCACTCCTACAGCAAAGTGACAAACCGCGATGAAACGCTCCCAACTAAGGTCAGAAACACACTCTCTCATATAACCACGATATTAATTGACACGCTACAACAAACCGATTTTTCATTGTCGTCAGTGTACAGCAAAAAATGAATCCTGTCACCTTTCCATTCTCTTTTGCTTTTGTCACTGTAATAGTAGAAACGATAAAACTAAAAAATAACCTCGAATCTATTTACACTCTTTTCCTTTACTCGATCATTGTTTTCAAGATGATTGTAGCCAGAGAAAGATAGATCCCTGGTTATGAAGGAGGATATTGTCTGTGTGCTGTTAGTTACCCCCTACTTCAGGGTGTTGTCAACACCAGTTTCATTAAACTCCCCGGGGAGTAATCTCAATACACATCGCCACCTCAAACAGTGATTTACATCGATCACCGCTACCTTGTTTACTTCACGTGGTGTAATAAACGAGTAATACAGATTTAACCCACACGTGATCGATACAAACATTATATTAAACGCATATAGTTTACGCTGTACGTTGGAGGTTCGAGGCCCAACTATCTTATAGGGTAGTGGTTGTTATGGCCCATTGACCTAGTGGTCGAAGCGTTTGCTAGTCACGCCGAAGAACCAGGTTCGATTCCAAACATGGGTGCATTGTATGAATCCATTTCTGGTTTCGTTATATTGCTGGAATTTTGCTAAAACCACTATTCTTAAAGCAGATTCCTGGTTTGTGATGAGCAAGCACTTACATATAATCATTAAAGCTATGCTGATAAAATGTAAGGCACATATGAAGCAATAGAAACATGAGATGTATTTTACCTAGTACGGATATATGTTATTAAAAACTGTAATTCACAAATGCAAGTGGGGTATATATTAAAATGTATGTGAGTGAGGTGGGTTTTACGTCGCTTTTAGCAATAGTCCGGCAATAAGACGGCGGGGACACCAGAAATGAGCTTCAGACATTGTGCCCATGTGTGAATCGAACCCGGGATATATTGAAAAGAATGTATTCAAAGGAACATATAAAGTATATATTCAAGGGAACATGGAGGTATATAATTCAAGGGAACGTGTGAGGTATATGTTTAAGGGTACATGTTAGGCATATGTTCAAGGGGACATGTGAGGTAGGTATTCAAGGGGACATGTTAGGCATATGTTCAAGGGGACATGTGAGGTAGGTATTCAAGGGGACATGTTAGGCATATGTTCAAGGGGACATGTCAGGCATATGTTCAAGGGGACATGTTAGGCATATGTTCAAGGGGACATGTTAGGCATATGTTCAAGGGGACATGTTAGGCATATGTTCAAGGGGACATGTGAGGTAGGTATTCAAGGGGACATGTGAGGTAGGTATTCAAGGGGACATATGAGGTAGGTATTCAAGGGGACATGTGAGGCATATGTTCAAGGGGACATGTTAGGCATATGTTCAAGGGGACATGTGAGGTAGGTATTCAAGGGGACATGTGAGGTATGTATTCAAGGGGACATGTGAGGTAGGTATTCAAGGGGACATGTGAGGTAGGCATTCAAGGGGACATGTGAGGCATATGTTAAAGGGGACATGTGAGGTAGGTATTCAAGGGGACATGTGAGGTAGGTATTCAAAGGGACATGTGAGGTAGGTATTCAAGGGGACATGTGAGGCATATGTTCAGGGGATAATTGAGGTAATAATACAAGGAATCGTGGTGTGTATATTCAAGGGAACACGTGAGGTATGTATTCAAGGGAACACGTGAGGTATATATTCAAGGAAACAAATGTGCATAACTACACATGTCACGAATGGAAATTTTAAATCAATGTGTGTATTTCGGGGATGTTGCAAACCAGAACTTGCCAAACATTATATAGTTCAAACAAATATGTAATGTCTTTTGATACGTTATTTACAACAGAGCAACACCCATGACCGGTCCCAATGAAATCGATACGAAACCACCAGATTAACATTTCAGACAAATCCTTGGTTGAGACCAATACTGGCGGAATCGTACTCAATCGGTTGAGTGAGTGAGTTTAGTTTAACGCCGCTTTTAGCAATATTCCAACAATGTCACGGTGGGGACACCAGAAATGGGCTTCACACATTGTACCCATGTGGGTAAAGAACGCTTTAATCACTAGGCTACTCCACAGCTCCCAATGGGTTGAAGGAGAAAAACAAACTTCTATGGATACGACCAATGTTGCTTCCACGTCCCTGTCAAAGCCTAGGTTTCGGTAGACAAAACCTGGCTTCAGAAGACAGAAGATAGTGTTCTGTTCAAAGATGAGTCAAAGTTTCATCTGGACAGCTCTAATAGTCGTGCAAGGATTTACAGGAGTACACGAGGAAGGTTTTAGTTAGTCGACGTCGTCAGTGAAATGGAAGGGGCTGTCATCATCAGAGAACATAGCTCATCACCGTAATTGTTAATTAGAATGGCGTCCACTTCCGGGACGACATCGTTCGAGATCGTGTTCTACCGTTTTGGCAAATACAGGAACCTAACGGTGAAGCAGGATAATGTTCACCCACATATTGCACATTCAAAAACAAGTCTACACTGACATGACCGGCTGTTTCTCCAGACCTCTTCCCCAAACATGTCTGGGATGAAATGGGGTAGCATAGTGGTTAAAGCGTTCGCTTGTCACGCCGAAGACCCAGGTTCGATTCCCCACATGGGTACAATATGTGAAGCCCATTTCTGGTGTCCCCAGCTGTGCTATTGCTGGATTTTACTAAAAGTGGCGTAAAACTAAACTCACTCACTGGGATGAAAAGGAGCAACGCCTAACAGGACCAGGAACAGCCTTAACGCTTGCTCAGGAGACATAATGCTTGAATCATATTTGGAACCACAACCTTAAGGCTGTTTTCATCCATCCACTATCAATGCAAACGATGGTCACACCCGCTATTGATATTATTAATTGAATCATTACCACCACTCTTTAGGGATGTTTCGCTCCGTCTCCCGTGACGAGGTATGGGTTTTGTTGATCAGTTTGTTATGATATAATATTTATCAGACAAATGGCCAAATATTATCTTGATATTTTCCTAAGATCGCATTTCGATTACTTTATATGAAACACATTTAGCTTTTCCATAGGTATATTTTTTCTCGCTGACTTGGTTGACACATGCCATCGTATCCAAATTGCATAGATCGATACTCATTGTGTTGAAGACAGGATTGTCTGGTCCAGATTGTTTACAGACCGCTGGAATATTGCTGAGTGCGGCGTAAAACTAAACTCACTCACCCATAGATGTTTTTAGTTTCATTGAGTCTTCACTGACTTTGAGTCACAAGTTTGAGTTTCAAGGAATATTTCAAGGAATATAATGAACTTCAGCTTTCATTTGATATGTGCATTTTAATATACACATACATGCATGCAATAAATAGCATTATGTGAGACGTGTAACTAGTCGGTATAGAAACCAGTTGAACGTTTTGACAATAATACTCCCTGAACCTGTGTAGTACACCGGGTTATGGCATTGTCAACTCGTGTTTCTATAGACTACACGCTCATACATACGTCGCCCATTGTGACACAGACAATGATTCATGACAATGTCACAATGTTGAACAATGCATGAGTGTGTCGTCTAAATGTTTATTGTCACATAATGTAACGATCGTATTGCTCGTGTCTCTTAATCACAATGTACGTTGCAATAATACCGATGCATCTTGTTTGGAATCACATTGTTTTTTAAAGTACCCAATTTATAACATTAGACACGAATAAAAATCGCAGAAAAAAAAGCAGAGAAAACAATTTGTTCAGAAAAATATACTGACTGACCTTTCGTTCAAGGTTCGTCCACACCACATGGCTATCGGTAACGATGTATATCGTGTATACTATTTGATTGTGTGTAGGATATAAATCTATCAATATTACTACCATTAGATGGGCAAAGTGACCCATATGCACACCTTAC